ACTGAACCAATCAATAGCACCTGTCTCTGTGGCACATATAAAGCTCACTCCATGAGGAGGCTGAAGGGACACAACCATAGAGCTCTGTCCCCCAAAAGGTCTCCTCTCTCCCCTCAGTGCCCTCTTAGTTACAAAGGTTTTCTGGGCCTGTAGTCAGTGGGTGCTGGAGCCAGCTCATAGTGGCTTGTGAGAGCCAATTGATACATTTTCAAAAATGTTGTGCGACAGCTTTTTCTAGTATTTTCATGGCTAGAGATCCCTGGAGGAATTTGAGGGCCATGATGGAGGTGGAGGAAGATTTGGGGCTAGGCATTTTTACACAGTTTCTCTTTATTTTTTTCTTGACCTGTGCTTGGCCCTGAGCTTCCAGCAAAGACCTGGTCACATGTTACTTGTTACATGTTACTGGTTACATGTTGGGGCAGGGGTCGGGGGAGACGGAAGGGTATCCCTCCATTGAGCATGGCCAGCTATGTTGTCGGCCAGGAGCCTAAGGATGCTGTGCCTGCAGCATTTCATCGCCATGTTCTTCTGCATCTAGTCCTGGGAAAGTGTGGGGCTGCTGTTTCTGATTGAGTCGAGCTCTGGTGTTTCATTTGGCATGCACCAGGATGGGCATCCATGTGTCATACTTCCTGCTCTAAATTCCAGATGAGTCCTCTAGGACACGCTGGGATTTGTCTTCCATTCACCTCCCACCTCACCCTGCTCTCCCACCATTTTGAACAACTTGGAATCCTCTCAGTGCAATAATCACCAGTCTTATGTAAACTAGAGCCTGGCACACAGTGGGTGCTTTAAGCATGTGTATTGAATGAGTGAATGAAATGAAACACACATTGTTCAAAAGCTGAGCTGTTCTGAGAGCTTGAGCATCCCCCCCCCCCCTTCTTCTAAAGCTCTCCTTTTGCACGTGATGCTCGGGGGGATGCTTGTTCAGTCTCCAGGCTTGGTCGGGGGGAGGTCTCTCCAGGCAATTTGAAACAGACCCAAAAGCCCCATGATAAGCCTCCAGCCCACTGTGCAGCCAGCGGGAAGGGTCCTGGGCTGGCTTTCAGACCTCTTGGCTTCCCAGAGACTCCAGCCACAACACTCCACTCTGTGGAGTGAGGATAGGATGTCCCTTTCCCAAAGGGTAGTAACAATAACAACGGGAGGGAAATTTACCTAAGGATTATTTCCCAGAGCAGATGGGAAAGTAGTATCTCCTGAAATCAAAACAACTTCACTGAGCTATGAGAATGTTGTTGTGTGTCATTGAGTTGATTTCGACCCATAGTGACCCCATGTGAAAGAGTAGAACTGCCCCATAGGATTTTCTAGTCTGTAATCTTTACAGGAGCAGATCTCCAGCTTTCTTCCATGGAGTAATTGGGTTTCTGGGTAGGTTCGAACTGCCAGCCTTTCAGCAGCCAAGTGCTTAAGCGTTGCATCACCAGGTCTCCTTGAAAATACTATTACAGAATTCTAACCCAGACCAAGTAAGGAAGAAACAGAGTTGATCTGGTGAACCCTGGTACTGCCCGCCTTTAGAATTGATTACTGCTTTAAAAAAACAAAACAAAACTTTAAAATAAAACCAGCATAATTTTAAAATAGAAAAAGGAAAAAAATCATCCCAAATTCCATCATGCTAATATCATCATAGTGTTGCTATTTTAGTATATTTCCTTCCATGTATTTTGTTTATTTGGTAGATAGTTGTGTTATTTTTTTTAACAACACACACTTGTATCTAACACTTAATATCATATAAGCTTTATTTCATGCTGTTGCATAGTTTTTATAAACATACTTTAAAAACTCATGGTTTATTTAACTTTCTAAAAACAATCAGGTCTGCTTTATTCTGTATTCTGGGGCCCTCCCATGGATCTCCTGCCTGACCCTGTGCCCTCAAGCTCTGGCACGCTTCCTCTAGCAGCCCTGCACTTCTCCACTCCACAGGTCTACACACTTGCTTCCCCCTCTGCTAGGCAGACTCCATCTTTTGTGACCCCTAAGCAGCCCCTCAGTCTTCAGGACTCCGCTCAAATGCTAAACTTGCCAGTTGGTAACGCCATGTGTGTGGATCTACTCTCACTCTCCTACTCAGCAGAGCCCAGGACTGCCTTGTCACCCCAACACTGAGGACAATGCTAGCCTGCAGGAGGCACTCAGTAAATGCATGCTGAATCAGTCAATGAAAAATGAAACGTGGTGGTCATTTCAGTCATTTCTGTACGTTTCCTTTCGAGGTTTTTTCCATTTTTTGTATAGAATCAGTTACACCAAATAGATCATCTTTTTGTCCTTTTCCCTCCTCAATATTATAAACATAGGTAAACATCACTTGTCAAGGCTGCATGACTTTTCATCTTGCCTAGTTAGGCATTTAGTTGTTGGCTGTTTTTCACCACTATAAACAATACTGCAATGACCTTTTTCATTCCCCTGCCAGGCAGACCGGCTTCCTCAATATGCCCTTTAGCTGTGATCAAAGTGTGTTCAGCCCATCATCATGTGAAGGAAGAGAACATTCAGTATCTGAACTCCTTGTGCGGCTCCTACGCTCAGTGTGGCTCTCAGCGCTGTAGGCCATTCGGCATGTTCTCAGTCACTGACCCTGGGTTGTTGTTTCCCTGAGAAAAGACTGAATAGGTTTCACTGGGGACAGAAGAACTAGGACCAAGGGGAGATGAGGGGATGGGAAGGGGTTGGAGAGTTTTGGTGGGGCCTAACGTTTGGATCTTTTATCAAAGTTAGAAAGATAAAGATGCCCTTCCACTGCATATAGCAACTTTGCCCCCGCCGCCCCCCGCCCCGCAAACTGTGGACCAGCAGAGGCTGAGGGTTGAGGGTGGCAGGGAGGGTGGGGAGCCTCAAAAGCAGTCTGCTCTCAGGCCCCTCTCCCTTCCACGGGCCTTTGGGTCTTAGGGGAACATGGCGTGAGCTCATTACCCTCTATACAAACATGAGGATGTCATTAACTACTTTGTAGCAGTTGTTAAACCTGTCTCAAGTCACCTCATCCGCTCATCCAGCAAATGTTTCCTGAACACCTGCCCTGTTCCAGACCCCACGAAGTGCTGCAGACATGGAGGTAGATTGGTGTGGGGCGCTCTTAAAGGCTGCTAGTTAACCACACACGATAAATGCAGGACATTGGTACCTGTACAGCAGTGACATAGGAGAGGAGAGATTCTCTGTATCTAAGAGGGTTGGGGAAGGTTCAGGGAGGAAGCAGGGCCTGAGCTGAGCTTTGAGGAAGGATCCAGCATCCACAGTCTTTTGGAGAACGAGGCTGTCCATGTGCACAGGGAGTCCTGCAACAGCACACGAAGACTGGCTAGGCACCCCTGGACGCCTGTTGGACAAGGATGAATGAGTGTGTAAAGCGGGAGCTGTTTTGACAGTCTTTTTGGTGATCTCGGCCAGAACAGGTTCAGTAGCAGTAGGACTGATCACCTGGGACTGGGGTGTGATAGGGAGAGTGGAGGTGTGGGGCACACATGACTCTTCCAAGAAGCCAGACTCTGAGAAAATGGCAGGAGACAAAACAAGCTGGGGGATCATGAGGTAGACAGAGGGCTGCTGGAGTGGGAGACAGGTTGAGTAGTCAAGGAGTAAAGGGTTGAAGTTAGAGCAGAGAGGGGCACCATGAGACGCAGGGACTGCACAAGTCAACAGTCCCGCAAACACTCTGACTTCTTCGTGCTATGACTGCCACCTGTGCCCGGCCACACTTATGACAGGGTGGACTAAGCCCAAGTGAGACCACAGAGTTTAGTGTGCTCAGCTTCTGTGTGCTGGAGTCTGCTATGACAGATAGCCCTGGAGGGCCTGGAAGGGTCCTAGAGGCCCAGTTGCTTCCCCCTGAGTAGGCTTCCTTCACTCCCTTCCAATCTGTCTGTTTCTCAGCCTGGCAAACAGCCTTTCCCTGATTACTTGTTGTTGATAGCTGTGGAGTCAGCTCTGACTCATGGTGACTCCATGCACGATGAGATTGGACTGTTGTGCTGCATAAGATTTTCATTGGCTGATTTTTGGACATAGATCCCCAGGCCTTTCTTCCTAGTCCATCTTAACCTGGAAGCTCCACTGAAAGATGTTCAGCATCATAGCACCATGCAAGTCTCCACTGACAGATGGGTGGTGGCTCCATATGAGGTGATTGGCCAGTAATCGAACCCCGGTCTCCCACATGGAAGGCAAGAATTCTACCATGGAACCACAATTGCCTCTTCCCTGATGGCTTACAAGCAGCTGCTTCTACCTTTGCATTCTCTGCATCTGGACCCGGTATCTTTCTCTTGGGGCTGCTGCTCAGTGTGTTTTTCAGGGAGACTTCCTTCCCCACTGTTATGGATTGAATTGTGTCCCCAAAAAATATGTGTTGTAAATCCTAACCTCTATGCCTGTGGTTATAATCCCATTTGGGAATGGGTTGTCTTTGTTATGTTAATGAGGCAGGATCTGTATAGGGTGTGTCTTGAATCAGTCTCTTTGGGTATATAAAAGAGATTAAACAAGCAAGCCAGGAAGCAGAGATAGACAAGGAGTCTAGAGACAAGGACTTCCCTCCAGAGCTGACAGAGAGAGAAAGCCTTCTCCTAGAGCCGGTGCTCTGAATTTGGACTTCTAGCCTCCTAAACTGTGAGAAAATGAATTTCTGTTTGTTGAAGCCATCTACTTGTGATATTTCTGTTACAGCAGCACTAGATAACTAAGACACTCACCCTCACCCTCAGCTGCTGCTCTGGGATCCTGGGCTCTGGAGTCCAATGACATCTAAGCACTATCTTACCTCAGAGGAGTCATGGTCATTACTCCCATTTCCCAGACACCAAACAAAAGTCAGAGAATCAAGTGCCTTGTCTAATGTCACACAACTAGTGACTCAGACCATGTCTGTCCCCAAAGGTCATGCTCCTGGTCAATACATGGCCCTAGAGAGAGAGGCCTGGGGTGAGGCATGCTAAGGTAGCCATAGGCTGCGTGATGCAGTGTGCCTCTAAACGATGCCATTCTCACTGCCTGTTGCTTCCTCTCTCTGCAGAGTCATGTGGTCCAGCCATCCCAGGGAGCTGTCCACTCCCGCCCTCCACAGCCCCACTGCCCTAAAGACCAGCGGCCGGTGGAGTGGCCCACCTTGCTCTGCTGGCCCAGGACCTGCAATCCAGATGGCTGCTGGAAAAGAGGCTCCCCCGATTCCTCTGGCTGAGATCAGGTGGCGGCTGAGGGAACCTGAGCCAGACCGGAGCTGCAAGTCAGTGCTGCTTGAGAAAACCAACTGCCTGGGCCCTGTGGCTGGTGCGGGTGGTGGGGGCCGCCAGGTGGCCTGTGCTGAACTGGTACTGTCAGCGGTGCCAGGCAAGCTCCGACTGGCAAAGCTACTGCCCCAGAAAGCTCTCTGGGAGCAAAGGCAGAGTGCCTTCATGGAGGTGCAGCAGCTTAAGGAGAGGCTGGGGGGCAATCAGGCCCAGGGGAGGGAGCATAATGACCCCACGACCCAGCCTGGCCACCAGCAGCTGACCCAAGACAATACCAAGGGCCCAGCGGGCAACACACTCTTCTCTCTGCAGCCCAGCGGAGCACGAGGTGAGCAGAGAAGCGCCTTCAGCAAACCAACTGAGTGTCCAGCAGAGAAGCCTGGGCCATTCTCTCTCTTCCCAGCCAGCCAATCTGCAGACTCCCCAGGGGACTTGTCAGGACTCATCAGCACTGCAGACCCGCCTCATTGGAGTCAACTTTCAAATGCCAAGTTTTGGGTAGGTGATTTCTGGAACTTGCAGATGTTGCCACAGAATGTTCCACTCTCCAGTGCTTTCCTGGGTGGCTCCACACTGTGGCTCAAGCACACAATGACCCAGATACCCATGCCCTCCTCCCTGTCCTCCACTTCCTCATTGACCCTCCTGCCACCCACATTCACCAACCTGGGCTTGTCCACCCAGAACTGGTGTGTAAAATGCAGCCTCTCCTTTCGCCTGACATCCGACCTAGTCTTCCATATGCGGTCCCATCACAAGAAGGAGCATGCGATGCATGACTTGCATTTTAAGAAGCGGAGAGAAGAGGCCCTCATGTGCCCTATCTGCCACGAGTACTTCCAGGAGCACCACCATCTCTCCCGGCACATGACATCTCACAGTTAAACAGGTGGTCATGAGACACACCTGTAGGTGCAGCATTCACCTGTGTTTGGTGATGAGGCAGGCATGGCATTGAGTCTTCTTTTGAAAGGCCTGGTCACTGTTGTTCACAGGGCCATCTTCTTTGGCATGTCTAGATGAACAGCTCAGTCACAATTTGAAAAAGACAGCCAAGTCATGCAGTGGACTTTGAAGGAAATAAAATCATGAAATAAGATGACTCACTTTGCTAATCCAGGGTAGTGGAACTAATGGACCTAGAGTATTTCTAACATTTTCAAGAGTGGGACCATGCTACCATTCTTTTTGCTCCATACAGAAATAAGTTTGAGGCACAGCATGGGCTTTGGAGATAAACCTGAATTTGAATCTTGCCTCTTTCATATATTAGCCATGACTGCGGACAAGTTGCTTTAACCTTCTGAGCCCCAGTTTCTTCTATAAAATAGAGATGATAACACCTATGTCTTGGGTATGTAGTCAGTCAGGGTTATATGGGAGGATGCAGGTAAAATGGCCTGCACGGTGCCTGACACACCATAAGCACTGAGTAAATGACACTCATTATCATGTCTGTACTAGTCAACTATTGTTAGGTAACATACCATCTCACTGGCAAATAATAAGCATCTATTTTTCATGGATCCCTGGGTTGGCTGGTATAGAGCTGGGTTGGGCTGGGCTTCGTTCCAGGATGCAGGTTTGATTCAGGTTCATGTTCTCTTTGGAAACTCACAGGCTACCCAGAGCATGTTCTCTCGTGGTTAGGACAAGAGCACGAGAGGGCAAATCCAAGCACATCTCAAGCCCCTGCTGGGTTACTTCCCCTAAAGCCCCCTTGGCCAAGGCAAGTCATATGGCCAAAACTAGAGTGAATGGATGAAAAAAGCATATGCTGCCCACGATGGAGCCATAACGGAGTGGATGTATAATCCTACCATGGTGGGGAGGCATGTGAAGAATTGGGATCAATAATTCAATTTACCACCTGGTCTGTAGGTCTTCACATTCTCAGTATGTGAAAAGGGAAAAATAGGATGAAGCACACACACTCCCCTTAGCGCTCAAGAATTGAGCTTGTACAAAACTTAAGGTTTAAAAGATTGTGAGGATTGGGAACGTTCTGGGTACCATTTATTATCCACTGCCTGTTGAGTTTCTATCAGTAACCAAGCTTACCCTTTTTCCTAATAATGCAAACCACAGGTCATACACTCTTACATAACGCAGGCTGGCTTGCATGAAAGCAGTGTGCTGGGAGTTTTTGAGTCAGTGCAGGTTATTCTGCATGGGTTTCCAGTGAACGTTCAGGAGTTGTTCATCTGACCTGCAGTTTCCAGTCCTCCAGTGAGATTCCAGTCACAGAGCTCTGTGCTGTGATTGAGGAGGCAGGATGGAGTTGGTGGAGGAAGGGATGGTCTTAAACAGCTGCCAGCGAGCAACCCATGTGTCTCCCTCCCAAACACCCCAGGTCAGGTTTGACCTCTTCTCTCCATCTACGCTGATCCCTCCCTATCCAAGGCAGCATCTCCTGCTTGGCCTGCTTATACAGCATGCTCCCTCCATCTCTCTCTCCCTCCCCTGCCTCACATCCACACACCCATCCATTCTTCACCCAGCAAGCAGCAGCATCTTCTAAAAATCTAAGTCAGATCCTGCCAAGGCATGGTTTAACCCCACGGCTTCCCTTTCCACTTACAGTCCTAACCCTGACAGAGCCTCTAGGAAACTGTTGATGTTTGCTTTTGAGTTGGCCCCTGACTCATGGTGACCCCTGTGCATACCCCCATGATCAGTTATGAATCAGACTGCTGTGATCTATAGATTTTTCACTGGCTGATTTTCAGAAGTAGATCACCAGCCCTTTCTTCCTAATCCATCTTAGTCTGGAAGCTCCACTGAAACCTGTTCCGCATCATAGCAACATGCAAGCCTGCACTGGCAGATGGATGGTGGCAGCTCATGAGGTGCATTGTCCAGGAATCGAACCCTGGTCTCCCACATGGAAGGTGAGAATTCTACCACTAAACTGCAATTGCCTCCCACAGGAACTAGTCTCTACCTAATACCAATAATTGTGAGCACTTACTGACCTCTTCATATGTGCCAGGCAGTATTGAAAGTACTTGAAAAATGAAAACATTATGTCATGTGTCCTGACAAGAGCCTTCTGCCATAAGAGTAGCTTCACTTCTGTTTTCACAGTCAACCACCACTAAGATGTGTAGAGAACCCTCTAAGCACTTTCCTTTGGGAAGTGCATTTCTCCTGGCCCCGCTCTGCCTCCCTGCCCACTACACCCCCTGTGGCTTGCCATGTTCTCAGAACAGCCAAGGTCTTCTGCATCTTGGTTTCAGCATCTGCTGTCCCTTCAGCCTGGACTGTCTTCCCCAGCCACCCTCCTTTGGTACTGAGCTCTTCTCAGATGTCCTCTCCCTAGAGGGATCATCCCAAATGGCCACCTACAGTACCCCCCAGCCATCTCTCCCAAACATATCCCTAGTCGGCTTCCTTCATAGCCCCTCTCATTGTCCAAAACGACCTGTTTATTTTCTTGTTTACTTTCTCTTTCCACCAGACTATTAGCTCCTAGGCAGCAGGGATCTCTGTTTTGTTAGCTGTGTCTCCCCAGTATCTAGAACAAAGCAAACAACAACAAAAAAAAAACCAAACCAGTTGCTGTCTAGTCGATCCTGATTCATGGCGACCCTGTAGGACAAAGTAGAATTGCCCCATAGAGTTTCCAAGGCTGTAATCTTTACAGCATCTTTCTCCCGCGGAGTAGTTGGTGGGTTCAAACTGCTGACCTTTCAGTGAGCAGCTGAGTAGTTAACCACTGTGCCATCCCCCCCCGCCAGTGTGTCCAGAACAGTGCATGGAAGATTGTGGACCCGTAATAAATACTTTTTGAATGAATTTCTGTGTGAGAAGCTGTGCCTGAAGATGGTCAGAAGTAGATCACCAGACCTGCCTTTTTAAAAAAAAAAAATATTTAACTGAGTTTTTGGTGAAAGTGTACACATCAAATTAGGTTCCCATTTAACAATTTCCGTACATATTGTTCAGTGACATTGTGTTTTCCACATTGTGTCAGCATTCTCCATGTTACAGTTTGGTTGTTCTGCTTCCATTAATCCAGCTTCCCTGCCCCTCCTGACCTTTTCATCTATGCTTTAGGATAAATGTGGACCATTTGGTCTTATATAGATGATGATTTTTTTTTTTTTTTTTTTTTTTTAAGGAGCACAGGATTCAAGGTGATATTTATTTTATGAGCCAATCTGTTATTCAGCTGAAAGGTGACCTCCAGGAGTAGTTTCAGTTCAGAGTTTAAAGAGTATCTCAGAGCAGTAGTCTTAGGGGTTCCTCAAGTCTCTACTGGTCCAGTAAGTCTAGCTTTTTTTTAATATAAGAATTAGGGTTTTGTTCTAGGATTTTCTCCAGTTTTATCGGGGACCATCTATTATGTCCGTGGTCAGATTGGTCAGTAGTGGTAGCTGGGTACCATCTGGTTTTTCTGGTCTCTGGATAGATAAGGCCGTGGTTCATGTAGGCAGTTAACCTCACCCATACCACCCTACTTCTCTGGGGACAGGAAGAGAACCCCTACTTGGGCCAACCCTGAAGCCTTCCTTTCCTTGGGAAATTGTAGCGCCCCCTGGAGGCAGCAGGCCTCCTCTGCAGTCTACTCTTCAAAGAGAGGACTTCACAGTTTCCATTTGCATTATTTTGTTTTGTTTTGTCTTTGTTTTTTGGAAATTATGTGGTAGGCCTAAAGACCATGTAGCAAAATATGCATTACATGGAATAAATCTTTTATTTTTAAAATAAGTCATTCTCCAAAGTGTTTTAATTTATGCCACTTTCTAGGAAAGAAAAAGTTTTAGAAACCAATTTTGAGTGGGGATTGGGGAGGCAGTGCACTCAGGAAGGAGGAGTGGGGTTAAATTTTTCTTCCCAGGACACCTTGTGTTTTCCTGGAGCAGGAGGGAGGAAGTGGCTGGCCTTTGGTACCCTTGCTATTCTAAATGGCTTAGATTAGGATACTATTTTCAGTACTGGCTACCCTGGTCAGCAAGGTGGTGAGGAGGTCCTTGGGCCAGACAGCAGCTAAACCCCACAAGAAGGAGCAAGGTGCATTACTGAACGTTTTGATCAAAGATTCTTTGGAAGAATCCTGATCAAAAGCAGGAAAATGCAAAACAGAATTTCAAATTCTCATGGGATCCAGACTTTCTGGGGTCTTTGAGGTTGGCTAAACCCCTTAAACTACTGCCCTGAGATAATCTTTAAACCTTAAACCAAAAATATCCCCTAAAATCTTCTTTAAACCAAACAACAGTTTAGCTTATTGAAGAGGAAAATTAATAACAAGCATCTTACTTTGATTTCAAGGTTTTTCCTATCGACAAAACCAAATCCTACCCTAAAAAGCCTGACCAGAACTGCGAAAGCATTGATTATGTTTATGCCAGGAGCTGCTCTATAGCTATGTAAATTTGTCTTTTCCCTAGAAAAGGACAGTTGTAACAAAACCACTACCTCCAGATTTAATGAAAAAGACTCTAGGCTCTTCTATTTAAGTCCCAAAAGAGATCATGGCTGCAGATGAGTGGAAGACCACGAACCACCTAGCAACCTGATAAACTGATCTCAGTAAAAGGAGAAAGGCAGGGTTCAATTGATCACGTCAAGATTAGCCAGTGGTTGATTTTCTATTCTTTTCCCTCCGCTCTTTTTATATGCTTCATTGTAACTAGCCTACCTCAAGTCATTTGGGTTTTTTGGAATCAATGTTCACCCTATATGCATATAGAATAACTGCTTGGAATAAACCTTATGTTTCCATTTATTTGAATTTTGATTAATTCTTAACAAGCTTAATTAGTAAAGAATATCTGCCTTGAGCATTGTGCTCTTTAAAGAACTGTCTATATGGGATCAAACTGATAGAAAGCTTAGGGGACAGTGAGTTTATGTTAGTGGGGGAGGAACAATTCATA